GTATGTATATATACATATATTAATTCTACATATATATTTATGTATTATTTTTACATAATTAGGTATCTTAATTAATTACAATTAGCAGGACCTGCCTGACAACCCATGCCGAAAGTAAAGGGAATTTAATTTGCTAGCACTATATTTAACCCTATAACTTTCCAAGACACCATAAAACCTGTACATGGGGGGTACTGTTCTACTCGGGAGACTTCGCTGAACACAAATATTAGTGTTTCAAAACAGTAAAATGTATTACAACGATGATATCGCCAGTAAAAGTGACGTTTTTTGCATTTTTCACGCACAAACAGCATTACACGGACAATATTATTGCTGTGATACTTTTACTGTTTTGAAACACAAATATTTGTGTTCAGCGAAGTCTCCCGAGTACAACAGTACCCCTCATATACAGGTTTTATGGTGTTTTCAAAAGTTACAGCGTCAAATATAAGGCTTGCGTTTCATTTTTTTCACATTAAAATTCGCCAGATTGGTTACGTTGCCTTTGAGACCCTATGGTAGCCCAAGAATGAAAATTACCCCTATGATGGCATACCATTTGCAATAGTAGACAACCCAAGGTATTGCAAACGGGGTATGTCCAGTCTTTTTTAGTAGCCACTTAGTCACAAACACTGGCCAAAATTGGCGTTTTTTGCATTTTTCACACACAAACAAATACTAACGCTAACTTTGGCCAGTGTTTGTGACCAAATGGCTACTAAAAAAGACTGGACATACCCCATTTGCAATACCTTGGGTTGTCTACTATTGCAAATGGTATGCCATTATGGGTGTAAATTTCATTCCTGGGCTACTATACAGTCTCAAAGGCAACGTAACCAATCTGGCGAATTTCAATTTCAAATGTAACATGCTATATTTGACCCTGTAACTTCCCAAAATGCCATAAAACCTGTACATAGGGGGTACTGTCTTACACGTGAGACTTTACTGAATACAAATATGTGTATTTTATTGCAGTAAAAGCAAACAGTATTATGACACTGACCGTTAAAATGTCATGTAGAACTAAAAAAATTAAAAAAATCGTATTTTCTCCCATTTTTTTCATATTAAATTATGTTTCATAGCTAAATATTTGATATTAAATGAAAGCCCTGTTTCCCCTGAATAAAATGATATATAATAAGGGTGGGTGCATTTACTATGAAAGAGGTGTATTACGGTTGGACAGACATGTAGCGCAAATGCCAGGTTTTGTTTACATTTTGTTTTGTTAACCACGTGTACATTTGGCTCCATCCTTAAGGGGTTAAGGTTCTTTTTCTTGGTCATAGCGGATAACGTGTTTGTGCTAGTACGTGTTTGTGCTAGTGGGTGCAAATCTCTAAAAAATGTTCTTCATTGTCTATTTCGGAGTCTAAGGATAGGAGTTGGAATCTGTTAGGGTGATTGGGAATTGTAGGTGATTTGACGTAGTTAGAGCATCGGTTGTGATTAGTAGTAACGTGGTCTTTGGGGTTTGGGTGAATCATATTTGTGGCTTAGGCCTGGTACATTGTAGTAGTGGGGGGATCGTGGAGGTTTGTATGATGGTTTACGGTATCTAGTTTGTGGTGGGTAGTATTGGGGGCGATGGTAGTTGGGGGCTTGGAAGTGATGGTCATAGGTTCTGTGAGTGCGTGGTTTGAATGGGTAATGGTGGAAAGGTTTGTGTGCAATGTAGTGTTGATGTTGTGACGTATACTGGAGTTGTGGTTTAAATGTGTGAGGTCTGCCATGGAGAGTAGGTTCTGGAGGGTATTCTGTGGGGGGATGGTTGTCAGAGATGTATTTTTTATAAGATGATATGTTCTTACTTGCTTGTTGGCATAGTCGTGTTTATCCCTTGTATGTTTTTTGATTTTTAGGTGTTTGGCATCCATCTCTATTTTTTCAATTTTGCTTTGGATTAGAATTGAGTTTTGTTTATATGTATTGGTTTCCATGAATGGCATAAGTTTGTCTTTCAGATCATTAATTTCTTGGTCCAACAGGGACAGTTTTTTTGGGTTTTTTTTTTTTATTAGGGTCTCCATAAGTCCAAAGGTACATATTTCGAGTTTGTTGAACCATTCCTCCATAAACTCTGCCCCTACCAAGACGGCTGCCGTGTTCCTTATATTAATTTTATAAAAACTACTTTTATCATTATCAAAAAACGTTCTGGTTGTGTTTACTAGCTTCTCGAGATGCCGTTTTTCTGCCGACCTCTCAATTTCTACACTGGGAACTACACTTCCCATTACACCTAGCAGCCGGGTAATCCTTTAAACAGCTGAAACTCCTCACCTAATGCTCGTTTTTAACTTCAAATATAACAGTAGGGATCTATAACCCTATATCTTTCTATACATAACAATGTTTGCCTTTTTTATAATGTATTAAATGTTGATGTTTTCTGATTGGATGACAGTATAAACTTCTACTATCCAGGTTGAATATTCTTTATGCCATTTGAGAAAGCCTTTTTGGTGAAATGCGTAATGGTGATTTTATACTGTGCATTTTAGATCAATTAAAGGTTTTTGGTTACTTTACTGTGCCAATTCTCTTTTTATTGTATTTTTATGCACTTTTTTAATTTTTACTTTCCTGGCTTTTTATTATTGTTCCTGCACTTAAAGAAATCCTAGGTGGGGATCATACCACCAACACCTTATTAATAGAGCAGTATTTCCTGCTCTACACCTGTAAATATTACTCTAGTTACCTTTACTTACTTTTATCCAATTGAGAGCACTATTGTCGAATCTTTTCATTTCCCCTGGAGCTTTGGATGACCAGACAGCGCTGATAGATGCATTTCCTTTACACATCCTAGCAGCGGGGATTATACTGTTGTACGCCCTTCACACCAGAGCTGGCCATAGCTCTTAAATGTGAGTTTTCTATCTTTTACTACTATTTTACCCTTTGGATTTTAAACATACTGCACTACTGGTTGCCCCTGTTTCTTTGTTTTTCATATATACGAATACCCTGAGACACTGGGATGCAACCACCCCTACTGAAAAACTACTCATCTATATCCCATCAAGCATTGTTGCTCTAGTGAGACTCTTTTGGACTATTTTACGTTATTTTACTTTTTCCGCTGGCACAGCCCTACCCCATCTCTTTGTATTACATGGTAGATGGGCTGCCAGTGATACAAGTTAGGAAAGTGATCCCTGGTGTTAACTATCCTTCTTATTGTAGGGCTATATAGACCCAGTAGCTCTCTTTAATGTTAATTTTACAGTTGGCAAAAGTTAATTAAAGCCTAAAAGTAACACTGCTCTTTTTACATATTGATACCTATCTGTTACAATATTCTCACTCATTCTCACTATTCTTTTAGTTCTTTTTTGTGAGGTTCTGTCTATTACCAGATAGAGTGACCATTTTAGGATCACTTTTTCATTTTATTGTTTATAGATCTTTATTATAGGCTTCATTTCCAGGATATGTAAATAGAAAGTGAATACACCCCAATGAAGGGACTTAATACTGGTTTTTAAAGGGGGGAGGAAAACTGCAACTATAATAACTAGCTTAGAGCTAAGGTAAATTGGGAGATAATCACAGAGCTCCTCAGCTATATATCCCCATAGTATCTAGTAGATTAAGTACTTAATTAGGTAAAAACAAATGGAACTAATGCTGGGAAGCAAACAAAAATATAATAGTTATGTAAATCTCACAGCCCCACAATCCTAGTTTAGTGGCCAAAAAATGCAGCCATTCTCAATTGAGGCTTAAATTAACCCTGGTAATTTCTGCTACGTCCAGATAAACCGGATTACTATAAGGGGATGTTCAATAAGTAGTGATCTGGCTAATACATAACACCTTGGAGGCAATTTTCATTTGCTTTTCACTATCTGCACTGACTAATTGCCATATTCACTCCTTTTGACTCTAGTGGTGATTTTTTTTAAAGTTATTAGTTAGGTTGAGCCATCTATAAACAGTGCCCCATAAGGAACAACAGATGTCTGAATGATAATTTTTGGATGAATTTGGGGTCATTCCACACTGATGATTTCTCTAAAATGAATTTTGGAGTTACCAATATAAAACAAAACCGAAAACTAACCAATTTTAGTGCTGATGCATTCACTGAAGCTGGCCTTTCACTGAAGGGCTTTGTTCAGTGCCACATCTTTCAGCTCCAGGCACCTGGCACACCACAGGCTTGATGTCAAAACAGATAAAGGAACACTATTGACACCCAAACCACTTAAACCCATTGAAGTAGTGTGGATGCTATATGCCCACATTTTTAACCTGTAACTACAAACATTGCCATTTGCAGGAATAGCAATGTTTTTATTGCGGGATTGACCTGCCACTAGTGACTGCCATACTGAGTATTATATCTATCAGATGATCTGAGTGACCTTCTGATTGGCACAGCATGGCATTTTGTTGTGCATGTGAGTGTACTTTCCTTGCAATGCCTTCCTGTGGTAAAGCACTGGATTGGCTGAGATCAGTGATCTCAGCCAAAGAGGCAGAGATACATGCCATATTCCAGTGCTGCGAGAGAGCAGGAAGCCTGGCAGGTTTAGTGGTGATTAGGGCACTGTAGCAAGTGCAATAAACAATTGTATTTCTAACGCTATGGTGTTCCTTTGTTTTTTTTGTCACTATAGTGACCTATCTGTGGTCTTCCACCCACCTTATCACCATTACTCAGCAATTGGGAATGTTTAAAACAGGTTTGAGGGGGCATACCATTGTCCACCATGTTCCCAATATAGGCTATGTCATACTAGGACACTGGGACGTGACAACTTGTCTGTGTTCAATATGGTGACATACTCAAAATGTGATCAACCCCTGAACATAACCTTGTGTTCCTCAGGAATACCTGCTAATAAGATACAGTCCACAATCAAGATTACAATATGTTTACTTTATTCAATTACTTCAGTTACATTATTTATTTTAAACTAAACGTGTCTGGGTTGGAAAAGCAAATAATAAAAAAAACTGTATACATTTTAAGAAAATTCACAAATGATAAGTCGTTTTTCTTCACAATTCTTATCATTCCACTTCCCATTATTAAACATTTCCACACAATCCTCAACCCCAAACTCATCATTGGGTTCACCAGCTGACCAGTTTGAGTAGGTAATTTCCTCTCCATTTGGATATCTAAATGTTCCTTCATCCCCAATGTCGTTAATACCAAGGAATGGATCCTTCTTGTGCTGCAAAGCAAGGGTCAATATAGCTTCATTCTCTTCTGTAATTTGTGGGGAAGGCAACTGTCCTCCTGCCTTGGCACAAATTGTGTATCCTTCATTGTAAGAAGCTGTCTGGCCATTTGTAAGATAAATTTTGTTACCGCTACTTGTCCCTCTATTGAAGACCAAAGCTAAAATTTAAAAAAGTAAGTAAATACTCATTATGCAAAAACTAAATAGCATTACCTTAACTAATATTATTTTATATACAGTTCTAAGATGATTTTGCCATTTTATGACATTAATTGGCAGTAAAATATTTTTTTTTTACCAAATATAAATAACTTCATAACATGTTAAATCATACATTTTCTGCTGTTTAGCATCCATTGTCTAGGGCACAGTTACCTATCCTTAACTATATTTTGTAGAGAAATCAGAATATCATGTTAAAATCTGATGCTTTCAGGATTGTGGGAAACTTATCAAAGTGTTCTGTTTAAAAAGTTGTGCAAAAAGTTAAAAAGGGGATGAGTCATTAGTGCAATGTATCATAGTTTGTGTGTGTGTGCACTTTTGGGTGAATTTCAAACAAAATGTTGGATTTGCATTACTCACCATTTTTCAGTGCTGCTACACTGGATTGCAAACATCTAAGTTCTTGCTCCAAAGAGTCTCGTTTAGGGTTTAACTCATCCAAACCTTTAAGACAAGAAGTAACTGATGGTCAATAAATCAATAAATAGAGCAGATTCAATAAAATAATAATAATAAACTGTACACCAAATATTATAAAGCTATAAATTCTATTGATTCTCAATTAAAAGATTCAATAGATAGATATATCAGATATATTCAATAGATGTGTGTGTGTATAAATATTCAAATATATATCTATATATATATATATACACACACACACACACACACACACACACACCACCACCACCACCACCACCACCACCACCCCCCTATAAGAGAGTATAAATTTCCAGATTAAATATACTTCACAAATCAAAGCATGTATAACAAATATAAAGATAGCAATAAATACAAAACAAGTATATAGATGGACAAAAAGTGTGTATATATATATATATATATATATATAGATATATAGATATCCAGAAGCAAGGCTTGAAATAGTGTTGAACCTTCCTTATGTACAAGAGCTCAGGGCATGGCAATCAAGACACCCAACGTTTCAGCCTATGGCATTTCTCAAGGGTCATACATGTGGCTGTATGCTGTTACTGTTCCTGTTTGGCAACTTCCAGCTCAGCAGCATTGGTAGTGTGAGATTTCTCATCATTCAAATATAGCACCAGGGCACTTCTAGCAAGCTATATTGATTATGGAGTGTTCCTTTAGCCAACTCACTATCTCAACCAATGCTTAAAAAACAAACAAACAAAAAAAAAACACATAAAACTACTGTCTGTTTAAAAGAACACTCATGTTAAATGTTTTTAAAAATTTAGTAGACATACCCCTAAATAATGCATTTTTTTTTTATTTTCTGCATGTTTTCTATGGGGATATGTGGAATAACACATCGAAAAATGAATACAGATCTGCTGTCTGCAGCCTATGCAAACCTTCCCATTTTTCCAGTGCCAAGGAATACTCCAGTTCAAGGTTTCTCATTAAAAACCATCTGTGCTGTAGCTGCGCGCATGCACACATACATGCAAATGTGATCGCAATCTCAGCTTTCCTATGCTTCTCAATGGGTTGTAGTACAGCTCATTGAGAAGGAGGAGATGCAGGTCCATGCTAGCATAGCCTACTTAAAACATCAATTAACTTTGTGGAGCCAACAGAAAGCTTACCTGTCCCCAATTATAAAAGTGCAGATTTCTATTAGATTGACACTTTAATAGACCGACAAGACAATTAACAGACTCAAGACTAACATAGCACTTCAGAAAGCAGAAGTGCTTGTAGGTGGGGTGGACAGAAAAAATGGAAAAACATAATGGGATAATTTCTGGTGAATTGTAAAGATCTGGAAGTGGGTTTACAATATTTTATCCAAACAGTTGGCATAAAAACAATACAACTTAGACAAGTGAGTTTTTAAATTTTTTGAAAAACAAGCAAGTTGGATTTAAGGATTTCCAGCTCCCTCTCCCCAACCCACCATATTGTACAAAATGTTGTGGCTCGAGGTCAAAAGTAAATATGATGACATAGTGATCACTGCCCTCATTTTAGTAGCTTTGATATAAAATGCATTCCTATATAGCTCATTAATACAAATGTTTTTGGGAAATGGATTACTTAAAAAAAAATATTTTTGTAAATAACACACTCTAAAAATTATTTTTGATTGTGGTGATTACCTTGTGTTTAACCCAGGAAAAAGTATCTCACCATTTACTGGGGTAAAATATCCCCTAATAGATTAATGAATCAATTACCTATACCTTAATAAAAAAAAAAAAGGATGCTTTTAGTCTTAATATCCATCCTTACCTGGAGATCCACTTTTTTTGTCTGTATGTTGGCACGACTGAGTACTGGTTACGACAAGTGGCATACTCACCATCACGACACAGAGAATATGAAAAAGCTTCATGGTTTATAAACACTAAAATCTGTATGTAAAAAAAAAATAAATCCACAACATTTTTATTATTTAAATATAAAGCTTTAACTATAATACAAAATATATTGAATAAAAATGAATAACATAATAATCAGGAGCTTACCTTTTGTAATATAGTTTCACTGCAGGGAAAACTGGATACTGAGTATCACAGCATGGGGCAAGGATGTTATTTAATGTAAAATGTCACTTCCTCAAGATAAAGCAAAACATTTTTGAGGATACTGCATCAGCATATTTACAGATATAGCTGGGCTCAGCACTAACAATAAAAATAAGATAAGCATGTAGATTAATTTAGGTTTTTTCACGCTGCACTTTTTTTTTTTTTTTTTGATGATGATTTTCAAGTAAAATTCAGTAAAATTTATAACCAGTTGGTAAATACAGTAAATGAAAAGCATTCCATGCACTATATTGGAGGAGAAAATCCAATCTGGGAATCCAAGTGAGCCGGAAATTGACTCAAGAGCTAAAGTATTGCGAGTGCTGCTACATCATACTGCCTCTGCAGGTACTGGAAAGCGTCAACAGACAAAGCTTCACACACCTAGTCCAGGTTTTGCCCATTTTATATGTATATTTTATTAGTGTTTATATACTTAGTCATAAAGCAATACACTGGTTGTGGGAACACTGATGCAAACATTCAATGCAGAGTAAAACTAAAATAAGTAGGAAACATTGCCTATGGTAAAGTAATGGGTAAAATAGGTGCACACATATATTCCAAAGCATGGAATAGAAAATGGTCTATAGCTATAAGAGTGCTAATGGCCTACTAAGGCCTTGAAGATAGCCCATGTATGGTACCACTATCCAGTCATTTAATATGTCACAAACTGCCTTCTCTAGGGTTTTTAGCCTTTGATGGTGGTGCCTCTGGTACTGCTTTCTCTATTCTTAGTGTGCCCATCACCCCAATGAATGCTGCTGTGTCATCAGTGGATGTAAAAGTGAGTGTTTCTTCATTACGAAGGATCACCAGAAATCCCCGCACCTCCTCCAGCGGCATGTAAAAGAATAGGCAGGTAGACTCCTGGCTACCAGATCTAACTTCCTCTTTTGTGTGAGATCAGAGAATGGAAGGTCACTGTAAAGCTTTGCTGGACGTCGCTCAAAGTGCACTGTGCCCTTGTATCTGGAGAGATTCATTATGGTGGATCTCGCTGTTATGACTCTGGCTGCTCCCGTAGGAGTAGTAGCGGGCTAGCGGAAGCAGAACACTGTGATATATGGGGGTTTAGAATTCCCTCTAAGACCCATAGAAGCGATCAGCCTCTGCACAAATGAGAGCAATTCCTCCCTAGTACCACAGTATGCCTACATTTGGGCGTTGGTACCGAGTCTCTAGTAGGACCACTTCCTGATTCAGCTGTTGAACCTGGACCCTGAGCTCCTTTAGCTGACCCTTAGTCTTCTGGAGCTGGATGTCTCTTGAAATTTCCCTCTCCTCCACTGCCTGCACTCTCTTTTGGAGAGATCAGTTAGTAGCCTTTTGATGTCGCCCTTCATGAAGGCAGAGGAAACGTCCTCAGACTCTGAGGAGTGTTAAACACCACCTTCCTCTTTTCCATTAGATTCCTCCAAGAGCTATGCGCTGTGCTGCGTTTCTGGCACCACCTTGAGAGGCACCATTGGGGCAGGCCTCTTAAAGGAGTGCCTGATATCTGGTAGTCTGTTTGTCTGTTTGTCTCCAATGTTGCACCCCATTGTATCCTCTGTTGGGGGATGCGTAAGTTTTGGCTCAAAACTGATTATTACGGCTGTGTTCGTCTCCTGAAAGTAACAGTGTTACAAGAGACAAACACAGCCATAATAATTGGAGGAAGACAAGTAAGGTAAGGAAGATACCTCAAAGAGGTAGGGACCAGCCTTACTAAAATTCTCATAATCAATCATTGAAAGATAATAGCAAAAAAAGTATATAAATAGAAAACAAAACTTTATTCGATAATGTATAGAGAATCTATGGTTAAAATAGTGTTACGAACCTCAGTGGTTATGGCACTGAGTTCTTCTATTCCTTTCCCAATAACTGAGCATAAGTGATTATAGTTGTAGTTAGGGTGTAGAGGAATAGTGTAGATGAATGCAGCTTCCAAGACGAATCTTCCCAGCAAATAAAAGATTACCCAAGCATGAGCCTAGACTTCATGAAGGGTACAGCAGGAATAATGTTTTATTGATGCCACACTGGTTTTTATGGGAATCCTCATGCAAGAGGACCTCCCACAATAAACAAAAGGAACAACCAATCATAATACAGATTTACAGTAAAACCCTCCCTTCCTTTGCCTGGGAGATAATGAGATAAGTTAAGGAATAACCCAATTATCTCCAGGCAAAGGGCACACAATCTCCCCAAAACTTGGAACAACCCTTTATACACAAGGTATCCCAACAAACATGTCCCCTGATAGCTCCGATCTGGGAGACCAACATATTCAAATTTCACCCAGATCGGTTCAGGGGTTCTCAAAAAGTGTGGAAGTCTTAGTTCACTGACTGCACACGAGGCTCCAGCCCAAAACAGTTCCACGAATTCAGTGTGTGCGGTCGGTCAATTCAGAAAACAGCATAAAAATGAATAAAAGCACGAATGGAGCCTCCTGGCTCATAGGAGCGATTTTTCCCCGTGTTCATATGAATCAAACTACCGAACGGCGCTCTCCTAGCTGTTCGGCAACAAAAGGAAGCAGACGTTCATATGTTTCAGCGGTGTTCGGTAAGTCGAGTGTCCGATTTTAGTTCCAGACACACTATGACCAAGTCCTGCTGCCTCCTTTCGTGCAAACAAGATGGCCGCCATTTTCTCTTCCACATGGCATTCGACTTTATGAATGGCGGCCGCCCAGAGAGTGCTTAATAGACGGTTCCCTTTGAAGATAATGAGCCAGGAGGGTGGTCAGTGCTCGGTAGTTTAATCTACCAAACCAATAAGTCCAAAATAACGAAATACAGCAGAAATGTAAGAATTAAAGAAGAAAATACCGAAAATAAGTCTATTTTCGTCACATAGAGTAAATAGAAAAAGTGAATAAAGAAGAGCAAGGAGCAATAATTGGAGCACCACGTTGCCATGACCACACAGTAGCTCAGCTAACCATGCCCTGCCAAATTCATAATTTTAATTGTGTTGCTCCAGATCAAGCACACCATTTGAAGCTCAACCCAACCCTTCAGAGCGTTTTTACTTGCTGAAGAAGTTTAACATAGTATTTCTGAATAACTGTTGTGAGAATGAGTGAAACAGATGCCTAAATAAGCCATGGAGGTACCTGTTTTGCATTTCTGGGTAAGGGACTTCCAGGGGTAGAGCTTATGTTTTTTCCAAGTTGTTTTTTTTATAATAAGGGGCCAATCTGTAAATGGGAAAAGAGCTCAAAGAGACTGAGCAGTGTGATGTCATCTGCAGAGAGGGCTAAAAACTGTTCTCCTATATTGGAAGGCAGACCCATATTGCCTGCATAAGCTTTAACTAGACATGTGTAATTCGTTTCAGACAAATTTCGGGCAATTCGGACATTCGGGTATGGGGGACATTTTTATGGTCCCCACCCACCACTCAGGGGTGGGGGCTGGGGGGAGGACATTAGGTTCCACCCCAATTTTTATTTGTGGCCCCCCACCCACCGTGCAGGGGTGGGAGCCGGGTTGGGGGAGGACAGTAGTTCCCCCCCTTTATTGTTATTTAGGGCCCCCACCACCGCTCAGGGGTAGGGGCTGGGGGGGCAATAGGTCTTTTTTTTTTTTTTTAAACAGTGTTAAAAAGAAACTTGTAGACAGAGGATCCAATAAAAATATGTTAGAGAGAGAGAGATCTGTAAAATTGGTGATATAGAAAGGAAAACACTCCTGGAAAACAAACCAGGGACAGCTTTCGATCAACATTTATCACCCATTTTAATACTGATCATAATAAAATTAAGAGAAGTCTACAAAGTTCTTGGCCAATTCTGTTACAGGACCCTGTTTTGGGAGCACATTTATCTGACAATCCTACAGTTATATATATATATATATATATATAAAAAAAAAAAAAATATATATATATATATATATATATATAAAAAAATACAAATCTCAAAAATATGCTAGCACCTAGTTATGCCATTAGGTCACCATCAGTTCATATGTCTGCTCTTTCAGGCTCTTTTCCGGGTTGTGGTTCTTGCAAAGCTTGTGCCACAGCATCCATTAAAAATATCCACTTGTTTTCTAGTTTTGTAACGGGGGAAACTTTCAAACTTAAGGATGGCATTAATTGCCACACGGACTTTGTGGTATACTTATTACAATGTCCATGTGGCATGCAATATGTGGGACGTACAAAGAGGATTTTGAGGGTTCGTTTGCTAGAACATCTTAATAATATTAAAAAGAGATTAATGACACATTCTGTTCCGGCCCACTGCATATCGTGCCCTTTTTTTCTTTTAAGGGATTTTAGGTGTCTGGGGATCGAGATGGTGCCCCCTTTTTGGCGTGGGGGCAATAGGGTCCAGAGATTAGCCCAGAGGGAAACTTTCTGGATCCACAAACTTCAGACCCTCAAGCCAAGAGGTCTAAATATAGATATTGATTTAATCTGCTTTTTGGATTAATATCGTTTACCATAACTGATATATATATATATATATGTTTCTCTGGAAAATATAGGTATGTGTGCTTGCTCCCATTGTGGGGCCTTTTCTACAGTTAGGAGTAAACTTTTTATTCACAATAGGGATCATATATAATTGTATTATATATATGTAATATATATATGTATATATATATATGTGTGTGTGTATATATATATATATATATATATATTATTTTTTTATTTTATATTTATTTTAATTTTTTATTTTTTTCATTGTATTTTGATTATAATTATAAGTTGTTCCAAGGGTGTATATATGGCACAGAATAATTGCTACAGATCCACTAAATTGGGATATATATAATGAATTATCTGGTTAAAC